CTCTCAAACACCCATACTAACAGTTTAGTCATTAAATATTTTGATTCTCAATGTCAATTATCGAATTATTATTATTTTTTATGAAGAATTTCCAATGTATTAAATACAATTTGTTCCAGTTATTTATCAATATTAGAAGAGCTGTAGAGATGTCTCGTGTGACTAAAGACGATATGTTGATATCAGGCAATCACGCGATGCGATACCAGAACTTTAAATAACAACTATACTAGAAATTGTCAAATGTATCTATAGCGTTGAATGTATATGATATGGGTACGTGTTTACCATCTGGCAACGAGTAGCGCCAATTTTATTAACAATTTCTAGAGAATTCTGTATTAGGCAGAAACTATTTGGTAAATTTATAATCCTCATCTATATTGTAGCGAGCACGAGCGTGTTTGTGTGTGCAGTCGGGCACACGTGTGCGTGGACCACTTATCGATTCGCCGACTAGCCGCGAGCGCCTTTCTTCATGTGCGTCGTATTTGTAAACGTGTGTATCGTACCTGCTTTCTGGGAAAGCAGTTGAAAAGTTCAAAGAAAAACTAAACGATCCGGATGTTTCTAGAGGGTTCAAGAAAGGAAACAAAAGAGTAATTAAAGGAAGAGAAGATCGCCGAGAGGAGTAGAAATAAATTGACCGTTGCAGAAGTGAATCGAGAAATAAATTGACAGTGATAGCAGTGAAATAAATAGCGCAGTGAATAGTGATATATCAACAGTAGTGTTTTTAAGTTGTTTAATAATTAGTGTAAATAAATAGTTTTTGTCGTTATCAGTCTTAGAAGTAAATTTTGTTAAACCCACGAACATTACAATATTAATTTCTCCGAGCGAAGCCGCGGGGAAAAGCTGGTAGTATACTAGATTTTGTTTGATTTCCTAAATACGAGTTAAAGATCATCGACGACCAGATAAAACGAATTTTTCCATCCCTCTAGCAATTCAAGCTCGTTTTATTAAATTAGATTTGTGACCTACTTGTAATCAGGATGAGATAAGACAAACTTCCTAATCCAGGAAGCTGTGGTAAGTACGTCTCCAGAAGCTCTCTGTTGAATAAGTTTAAGATACCTCTGGATGGTACAGTGGGTGTCACAATCTACGTCCATTCCGGCGAGATAGTTATTTATTAAGGGAATCATTCCAGGGAACTCTCCTTCCTAAAACACACAGTAACAGTACGATGAAAAGGCTAAGGCCTTCACGGTCGTTGGTATTTGCGAGGACTCGATAGAGTCGTTTATACGACGTTTCGACAACTGCTGTGGTTAGCATCATCAGTCTCAGCGCATCCACAGCGAAAGATTTTACGCTCTTTCTATATTCCCTAAAGATGCGAACATCAACAGTTGACGAATTGGATTGTCTACCCCAACAGTGAGCTCACCGAAGGAGGAGAACCAATTCCGGACCACGACCATCAAAAATAGATATCGAATTCTCATCAAACTTATATATATTTTACAGTCGTTAAAAATAATTAAAAGATCCCTGATTTACCTTTCCATTAATTATTTCATTAATTGTCATTAGTTGGCAAACATCACGATTGCTGTTATTTTTATCCTTGATATAATACTGATTGTCTTCGGGGATCGTTATATCTTTCGTGAACTATAAAAATTGAAAGAAACATCTTTTTTTTTTCTTTAAGCAATGCTTTTTACAGAGTGTTTCTGAAATATGTAGCAAGCCTGCAGGAAGTGACAGAGTACTGTAAAACAAAAAAATGAGATAAATGTTTGCATCTCTGAAAGTTCGCAGTTTTCAAGAAAAACGTAGTACAAAAGTACAGACAAATGTAATGATGTAAACATTAGTGCGTGTAGTAGCGTGATAGTAGGCTGTTGATAAATGTTATTAGTAGTTCCACAACCGACACTGTTTACATTCTCTATCAGTGCAGCTGCCTAATTGTTATAGCAACTGGCTGTACTAATACTTGTGTTGCCAATTCACACCCAGGGCCGACTTTGGATTGTAACTTCTTCTGTTTTTATTACAATTTTTTTGTCCTTTAATCATGCTGCTTTACTCACTATGCAATTAGTTAACTCCCTGCACAGCTTATCATTTTTTTTAGAAACACTCTGTTTGTAAGAGAAAATAACGCAAAAAAATAGATAGAGAACTAACTACATACACAAATATAGAAAAAGAGCACGCAAGTGGTATATTACAATATGAATAAAAACAATCAAATTTAACTGAAAAAACGTAAGCGATTACCATAAATAAACGAAGAGACATTCTGAGTAGGGAATATACCTACCTTGCTAATTGGGATGAGAAAATTAAGCTTATAGGAGAGGATAACGCGTGTAAGTAAAACTATAAAACAAACTATTGCGGCATTTTCGAAATCGGTGATTTGTACGTCACATGGTCTGAATTCAACCCTCCAACCGATTGTTGAGTTCGGCGGGGGCGGTTTAAATCTCATATTTTGCCAATTTGTTGATTGAATATTCTACAAAAAAAAACAATGCAGCATAACAAAATATTTCCGAGACTGCATTCTAAAATAAATGCATAAGAAGACGAATCTGTAATAAGTAATTTATGGTTTTAACAATAAGTATAGGGTGTCCAGAAAGGGTAGGGGTATTTATAAATTCAATAAAAAAGTCTACAAGTCAGAAAAAAATTTTTTTGTTAATTTTTAGACAAACTTTTGAAAAATTAAGTGCCAAAGATGATGTTGTCCAAATATTGACCTTCGCGCTGCTGGCACTCCTCCAACGGAAGGGAACATTAGCCGCCACGCGTCTGCAAATCTCTCTGGAAACGGCGGCCATTTCGGTGTGGATATTGTGCTTCAATTGCAGTAGTCATCGTGGTTTGTTTGCATATACCTTCTGTTTAAAAATTCCCCCATAAAATATAAACAGGGGGTGTGAGATCTGGGCTTCCCGGAGGCCAGTTGATGGTGCCTCGAAGAGAGATCACTTTTTTCCGGGAAAAGTTGATTGATAACCGCAAGCGATTGATTTGAGATGTGGCAAGTAGTCCAATCTTGTTGAAATCATCTTTCCACATTAAAACCACCAAACTCTTGCATTTGTGGAGCAAAAAACTTGTCACAATACCGGTCACTGTTTATCATAAGTGTTCGCCCTCGTCGATCTTCAAAAAAAGAAGGCCCAATGATTCTTTCGCCAGACATAGCAGCTCACGCACTAACTTTTGGTTGTTCATGTTTATGGCTTTGTCCCAGTAGTGATATTTCTGTTTGTTTACGTGTCCATTTAAGCGAAAGTTCGCTTCGTCACTAAACAGAATGTTTGCAAACGTTGGAAATCGTTGAAACATTTTATTTGCAAAATTCAGTTGGAGATGATAATCGGTAACGTTCAGTTTTCGAAACTGTAAGATGTAGATCTTGCTTCAGGATCTTTTGTAATGGCGACTTTTTAATGTCAAGTTTACTGACACTCTTATTTCTTCAATCGTTTGTTGGGTTCAAACAGAGCCACGGGTGACCTGAATTGTGAACATTCGAATCCATTTTCTGATGATATCGTCCTTCGGTGCATTCTGTACATTGAATTTTGCCTGATATAATCGTTAAGCTATAATCATCGGATCACTATTGCGATAATAGGCGTGTACGCAAAAAGCACGAAGGTCTTCCGGGTACGCTTCCGTAGTCATTAAATCTCCAAAAAGTAGTGAAACAACCTATCCCAAAGGCACCCCTCAGAACCGCGCCGTTACAAGGACAGTGCAGATTAGGGTTGCCACCTTTTCAGGCTTTACATAAAGTATTTCTCGACTAAATGGTTCAAAAAAAAAGTACTCAGCATAAAAATTTTTTATTTTTTGTTTTTAAAAACATATTTTTTGTTACACCTAGCAGCCAGTAACAAATTGCTGTCGCTCTTAAATACATTAATAGCCTCTAAACATGGCAAACAAAGATTTAAGTAAACTAAAAGTTCATTTTTAATTAGTTTTAATGAAGCTTTATTCCTGTCGTCCCGCCACTTTGCGGTCATAACATAAATGCTGAAGAGGCCGGAACGGACAGTAAAACTGACACTACTTTGAACAGATTTGGTTGTTCCGTACTTAGAAACATTCTCAAAAATATTGTATTGTGCAATATTATTGATGTAAAAATATTCTGAATTTCGAATAATCGCTTACAAAATTACGATGTTTACTTAAGGCCTTAAATAAAGTATTTTTGCGTACTTTATGTCTTGTAAAGTATAACGTACGCACAGTCGAAATAGAGTACAATACTTTATAATAAGGTAGGGGTGGCAACCCTAGTGCAGATACAAATACCCCTTCTGGACACCTAGTATTTTGAATTTAAGTATTTAAACAAATTACTTTATTTAAATTTTCAAATTCAATGAAATACTAAAAATACAATTTATTTGCAATACACGTAAAAATGTAAAGAAAATTTGATTTTGTTACCTTTTATTCTCACTATTTAAATACGAGCAGTGAAGGTAATGTGATAACACGAAAATGGAGATAAAGGATGTAAGAGCTATCAATGACCTTTGTTTGAAAAAAAAAATGTCTGCCAAAGATATACGTGCTGACTGAGTGGAAACACTGCATTTTCTACAGTGACAAGTATGTGAAAGGACTTTAAGCTGAGAGGAATAACATCCTCGGAAGATGTTAAAAAATAAAATGATACTGTTTTGGCAGTTCGAACAGGCCTTCTTGAGATAACAGGGATGCGATGTCACCTGATGATGCTACTGTGTGGTGAAATAATCTTGTCGTAGATACAATATACTTTCATAAAACTTTATGTGTTTTATTTTATTAATTATGAATAAGGTTCAACATATAACAGCTACCACCCTAAACGATATATTTGCCATCAAAACAATATTAGAAATATGCAGGGTATTCCACAACGATCTTGGGGTAAACATTTACAGAAAACATTAGAATTGAAATCTTAATGAAGCTGTATACACTATGTCTGATCAGTAATGTGAAAAAATTAAGGGAGAAGAAGGTACATGGAAAAGAAATAGAATGAGTTATCACGCACCACTCAATGATATACATAAAAATGTGGGTAATGACTAGAGATGTGCAAAATGTTCTTTTAAAAGTATTTAAATACAAAATGCAAATACTTGTTTGATTTGCTATTTCAAATGTAAATACCAAAATTTATTTCCCTTTTGTATTTTCAAAATACTTTTTTGTTTGTAGTACCTATTTAATTTTCTACATTTACTTAAGTATAAAATATTTTTTAAGAAAACCTTGCAGGCATTTTCTCATTTTTAAAATATTGGAGTTTTTGTAGACTAATAGATTAAATTACTGTTCACAAATAGTTAAGGATATGGGTTGTTCTAGCTTTAGGGAAATGCGAAGATTAACGCAGGATAGGAAAGAGTGGAGGTGCTTGTCCAACCAGTCTTAGGACTGACGACCTTATGATGATGATGATGAAGTGGTGTTTGTACTATATCACCAGCTGCGAAGATTGAGTATTTTTATATTTTTTCCATATTTTTCTCTTTGATTGAGATATACTTATTTTTATGTTATTGTTTCTTCAGTTCAGTAACAAATAATTCTTCTATATACTTCCTTATTTCCCTTTGTCGCCAGTTTTAATTGGAAAAAAGTCACTGATGTCAATTTTGACATCAGTGTCTTTTAGTCAAACTATTTAGTTTGTTTACTGTGAAAGATCAGAACCAAAATAGAGTTACAAATAATTTTATTGATGTACAAACAACGTGACTCATTTTACATCAAAATATTTACAACTGCATTTTGTTTCCGATCTTTTACGCATTGTAATAAGAGAAAGAAATGGAATCCATAGTTTCTTTAGCTTTGGGTTCATCTAATAAGTGAAGTTTTTCGAATCGTTTTCTAAGAATTTTGGATTATAGGCATTTATTAGCACACGACAATATCTTGTCGTTTTCAGTTTTACACAGCTGGCGTATATCAATTCGATATTGTTTTGTGGGTACTGATCTGTTAGTACCGCTTCCATTTTATTTAAAACTCCTCCTTGCTAGATACTAATACTGCTATATCATCCACAAATCGAAGCATACTAATCGTTTGCCCCTGTAAATCTATCCCTACAGTTCTACTGTCTTTAATGATGTTGATCGCGTCTTCGATGTATAGATTAAAAAGTAGCGGTGACAGTGTGCATCCCTGTTTGACTCCCTTCAACGTTTAAATGGAACATATATTATTTGTCGTCAGATTTACTTGAAACTTGGTTTTAATGGTCTCCCATTTAATTTCTGAAAGACCTATCTCGACATTTTAAACAATTCAACCTCCAAAGGGGGGTTGGGGTAAAAAGGTGTTGCAATTTTTGTTTAGGACATACTTTATTTGTGGTTGAATTTACTTGAAACTTGGTATATATGCTATTTGATATTATTAATCCAATGAAAAGAGGTTGCAACGTTTCCATGGGGTATATTATATTGCAAATACGTGTTTTGGCAATTTTTAAAAATCAACTCTTAAGGACGAAATGTTGTTGCTATGTTTGTATTTGAAATCTAAGATGGCGACATTACATAAAATTAAAACGTTGGAAAGGTGAATTGGGAGTTAAAAGGTTTTATGGAGACACAATATTAATTTCTGCGAGCGAAGCCGAGAGGAAAAGCTAGTTTTATATAATGTTACTAATGATACTAGCAAAAATGTATTTTGCATTTTACAAATAGAAAATACGTTTGGAAAAGTATTTTAAATAAAATACAAAATGTTTTTTTCAAAAGAATATTTAAATGCAAGATAAAAATAGGTATTTTTTTACACATGCCATTGATTTGTCTGTGTACCAACTGTTGCAAAGGTGACCAGTAGGTATGAGTGTTTCGTCACTTGACGCTTGCGATAATGACGGGTCATAAGATAACGCGGCTGCCAAATTGGCAATTGTTCTCAATTATTGATGGCTCGTTAAATGGGGTATATTTTAGTGCATACTTTTTACATCGCTTACGTTCTGGTGCTATCACTAGATGCACCTTTCAAATGTTCTGAAAAGTAAATTTTAAGTTGTTTCAGAAAGTTACCTCGAAATGGTCAGTGTCCACTTCGTCGTTTTGGTGTACTTTTTCTGAAAATAGGGAGAGAGCGTCCCTTATGAAAAGATGTGCAATATGCTGTGACAACTGGTGGTCAATGTCGTTTTCTCTGAGTTTGTTATAAATTTCTTTGTCGTATATTAATGGCACGTCGTTGTATTCTTCTCCGGCTTCTGACAAATAGGAATCGATTGAATCGTATCTCGACTTATTAATAACGAACTTGCTGTTTTTGAGTGGGACGAGTCCTCTCTCTTCTTCCGTTCTACAATCCACAGAGGCCGATATAACATTCCATCGACAGTCCACGTCTGACAGGAATCCCCGAAAAATCGGCGATGCAGCACTTAAAGCTAACTGTAAAAAAAGGTATTTTCAAACTGCTTTTTACTCATTTTATAAAAGAAATAGAAAATTTATTATTAACTGTATGTACAAAATAATAAGTGGTTTTAACAGTGCTGGATTTGCCAATAAACTATAGGTCACGGCTTAACACGGCAGATTTTCGAATCACAGAAAACACCATTATGATTTAGCGTTTAGAGGTCGACTTAGTTCAGGAAATTAATTAATTTTCACTGTCACGTTTTCACTAATAAGACCGCACTATAATTACTTAATCTCTCTATATTTTTCAGGAACCAATGTTTATGCTACTTTTACTCGAACTTAACATTTAGACATTACTAGCGACCCGCCCCAGCTTCGCACGGGTGCAATGCTGATAGTAAATATATTTTTGTTTTGTTTAGATTATTATCGAAAAGGGGAAATCTTCAAAAGATACCCCCTGAACATACTAAATATACTACAGAATGTCTTTATATACAACATTCAC